GGGTCATACCAAGAAACTTGTGGGAGGGTAAAAAAAAATTGTGAATTTCTGTCATTTGAAACATTGGTGAGAAACTACAATTTAATCCTCTGGTCATCATCAAAAGCTCAATAGAAGGGAATTATAGTTTCAAGAGATGAAGTGAGTTGTGTCCAATTCTCAAAAATGCCATGTTTCCTCATTTGTCTTTTCCTGCCAAGAGTAATTATTTTAATTTACTTCATTGTTTCCTTTGTGCATGTGATCTTTTAAGCTTTCTTTTTTCATCCTTTCGTGCAGTTGTTTTGTAGTATTTTTTTAGGTTAACTGTTGTGGTTGCATGGTCGTTTTGTAAATCGAATAAGCACAGGCTATTTCCACTTGTGGAGCGCTGAATGGGCCGATCGAGGACAATAAAGAATGACAAAGAACTAGAAATTACTGACTGCTCGTATTCCTTGTGGTTTTTGAATTTATGAACATTGCATTTGCTGTACATGTTCACATTTGCCTATAGAAGAGCAAGGTCTAAACATAAGCAACTTTTCGCTTCAACAACCAATACATACATAGGCAAGAGGGTGGGGGATAAACTGGGCCTTTTCCTTAGATTTTCGAGTAAATTTGATATGATAAAATAATGTTTTAAGAGATGGCTGCAAATGTTTTGCCTAAATTTTTATAAGATGAACGACATTGTTCAAAAGCACAATCATTGCTTGGAAACCACTGACAGTAGTTTTGTTAGTGTGATAAAACATATCAGAGGTTCATGTACCTTCCATCTGACCGTGCCTTTTATGACTCCAGCTATTGCTTTCTCACACTGTGCTATGAAAACATTTAAAAGAACCTTGTTGGCGGGTTTGATCTTTAAAAATGTCAGTTTAGGAATTAAGGAGAAGAACTTTGACCACCAATCAATTTTTAGTCAGTAACTTGAGGTGCAGTGGCCTCATGGTTAGTGTGCTCCCCTCTGGATTGAGCGGCGCGGGTTCGAGCCCTGGCCGGGGACATTGTGTTGTGTTCTTGGGCAAGACTCTTTACTCCGACAGTGCCTCTCTCCACCCAGGTGTATAAATGGGTACCAGCGAATTTAATGCTGGGGGTAACCCTGTGGTGGACTAGCATTCCATCCAGGGGGGAGTACATGTAGAAATACTCCTAGTCACTTCACGCTA